TTGCATGACATTAGTTATTTATATTTTGATATCACTTAATTACACGTTTAATACATTTAAGTCAAGCTAAGGTACATGTGATGGTAGCTAGTTAGTGCTCTTACCTGTGAGGCCTCCTCCAAACAGCATAATAACCAGACTGTATCATTAAAACTAAGTACCAGTTATAGATCCTTGACTTTAGACAAACAATTCAAAAGACAAAATGTATTTAAAGACCAATCTTTATTTGAATGTGCCTCTTAACCTGAGATATTAGTTATACAGTAATAGTATTGACAATCTAAAAAAACTGAGCAACTCAACAGTCAACTTTATGTTTCTTATTGTCTAAAGCATTTATTATTTTCATTTTCCCCCTCTCATATTCAGTGTGGACGGATTGAGACAGTCTGGTGTCCAGAGAGCTGCAGAGACTTCAGGGAGAAACCTCTGTGTGATGGACGTCCTGTCTGTTGGTTTGGAGAGGACTGAGGGTCTTTCCTCTGCGAGGAGGACTGAGGGTCTTTCCTCTGCGAGGAGGACCAGGCCTGATGGAGGAGCCCATGCTGGGCACAGCTGATACCAACTGCACAGGCCTAGTCGGTCACTTTATTTGACAAAATGTGTTTACTTATATATTTAATAGGTTTACACCTTCTGTCCATATGTGCTTTTGGTTCACATTTCAATAAATTGTATATGTATTTGCACTCCTTTTGTCCATTATTCTTACTGAAAATGTTAGATTACACATTCACATCTGACTGAAGATTGGCCCCATTTATTTGTGACGTTGCAAAACAAGGTACATGTTGTGAAGCTCATAAAGTGAGGCAAATAGAAATAATCAGCTGATGGAGTGTAGATGTGGAAATAGCTGCATTCGATCAGCTGACTGTTTTTACAATAAAAGTAGTTTCTTAGTGAATGTCCTGTACTGGTCTTATAATCTCATAACATCAAGCTTTTAATGTTCCTCTTGGATGTTCTTCTTGACCCTCAGAGAAGGAGAAAATGTCCTGTCTGTCAGGCATGTCCTTTCCTAACAAAAATGACAGGAAACATAAAACATATTATTGCAGAACAAGTGTGTTATTTATGAAAGCAGTGTGTTTGTGTGTTTAGGGGCTGTAGATATAATTATTTTGTAATTGTAATGTTTTTATTTTATTTCAACAGTGAGCTACAAAGACAATCAGATTATGAATGAACAGTATGAAGTTCATCAACATTGAAATATATGTTATTATCAAAATAATATTTAACTGTTATCAAAACGTAGTGCAGCTATAGAAGCTTGCTCTGTTGTCTCACTGAAAGAATCACTTTTACCACGTTTTTACAGACAATATTGAGAGATAAATAGTAGCAGTTCTCACTATGTGTTAAATATCTTTGCCTTCAATACATTAAATTAGAAAGCTGACAAAGTCATATTGCTAAATATCTAAATGTAACTTTTTGCATGGAAAAAAACCCTCAACTTAACTGATGTGTAGGTGATCTAGTATTTAGTATTGTTTAATGGAATGTATATCAGTGTATTCAAGTCAATACTTCATTCATTTAAACCAATATCTTTCTTGATTCTTTGTACAGTATGAAAAAAGAGTCTTTGTACCTGTGCTGAAGTTCACTGCTGTGAGGAGTCCAGTTCTGTCTCTCACTCTCTGGTCCAGCCTGTCTGCATCACCTGGACACCTTAAACAAACAGATATATATGTAAAGTACCATGTGTACAAACAATATCACTGATTCTCTTCTGTTGAACATGTTGGATTGTGTATTGTCCGAGTCAGGGTCCTTTTTATTTTACTGTAACTTTGGAAATTGTGTTACCAAGGCTTACTGTTTATTTGATACCCATTTGGTAATGCAATTAATAAAAACAACAAGGTTTGGGTTCGTTCTTCAGATGACTGTGACATTAACGTGTAAGCTCAATAATGAACTGCAGCTCAACCAACCATATTGTAATATCTAAGTAATCATCTTGAAATATGACATTAATAATTGTAATATACACACATCTTATTGTGAGGTTGATTTCACATACACTACTTCGACATTAGCTTGTCTACATACTTGAGCATAGCCAATTTAAATTAACCTTAGATGCATACAGTTCTACCTATATAATAAAATATGTCTAAGTTACAAGGATGTAACCTTATTTTATCAAACTCAAACGGAAGCCGTTTGTTCAACAGTATTATCCCACTTAACACTTGTCTATTTAGTTTTAACCTTTATATATATACAGTCTATGATTTTAACTTGGAGGCTACGATTACAATCGTTAGCACCGATGTAGCTACCACTAGCCACTAACTAACCCAAGCCTTACCATTCATTACGTAGCCGATTAAAATCATTAACACATAAATAAAGCACTCGAATTTCACTTACCGCAAAACCGCATTCATGCACCGTCTGTTTTAACCGCAGAGCGAGTCACAATAGTCCGATATATAAGCATGAAGAACAAACAACCACGGCCGGCTACAAGTTTTGTTTCCTGGATGAGCTGAGCAGGCAGAGTCCCTGTAGCTAGCTTCACGGAGCAGCTAGCAGAGAGACAAGAAGCTAACAGTGGCAGGCACTTGACAGAGCCGTCACTCAATGTGACCACGCCCTAATCTATGCACAAACTTTAAGACCTAATATAAATAAAAGGGTCGCGTTAGAAAACAATTCACTCACAGATCCATAATCATGAAGGTGGAATCTAACTATATCGATTATAAAATGTATGGAGCCAGGGGTAGAAACATGTTTTTTTTTGCTGTAAAGTTGGGCATTTTAACATGGGGTCTATGGAAATTGCTCCTTTCTGCAGCCATCGCCTATTGGCCAATATATGAACTGCAGTGTGTGGCACTTCCGTATTGGCTTCCCGGCTCTACCCCACAGTTTGCCGCTTGGTAAAAACGCATTAATTGTAATACATGAGTTCAAACAACAGTGTATCAAATGTATTCTAGAGTCTCTGAAATAATATGATGGGCAATGTATTTTACGAAAAACTATGAATTGAAATGTAACTTTTCTAGCTTTCCAGAATGTATTAAATGTGATACATTAAATCAAACACCAGTGTGTTTATACACACTAAAGTTTATGAAATAATACCATGTGTAATGAATTTTAACTTTAAAATCTGAGTTGAGTTAGAAAAATATGAATAATGAATAATGTATTAATGATGTAGAATCTAAATACACAGTGTATTAATATACACCAGTGTTAATGAAACAATATTATGTGTAATGCTTTTAACTTTTTTTTAAATCTGAAAATACGAATAATGAAAATCCAAAAATAAACAGTGTATTAATGTACACTAGTGTTTATGAAACAATATTATGTGTAATGCTTTTAACATTACAATCTGAAAATACAAATATTAAGTATATTAATTATGAAAGATTAAAATACACAGTGTATCAATGTACACCAAAGTTTATGAATAAATGCAAATGTTTGACTACAATACTTCCATTCAAAGACCAATGTATTTATGCACACTACAGTCTATGCCAAACGGATTCTAATTTAGAATCAGAAACCACAAGTAATCTTTATCTAAGTAGTTGCTTAAAAAAGCAACACATTCATCGACCTGACGCAGACCCCCATTATTGTTGTTGTGAGCGGCGTTGGGGAGAAAATCGGCTTCGTAAACGGTGATGTCATGACGCAGCACCAATCAGGATCTGGGCGGTGGAAACACAAGGGGGCTAAAAAGAAGAACCAGTTCGGAACCAGAAAAGCACAAGCACAGAGCTAGAACTGGTTGGGTAGAAAAGGGGCAATAGAAGTCAACAGAGTCGTACAGTCCACTTGAGTTTTTTTGTTCACGTAATATGTGGATAGATTAACGTGACACCAAAAAAAAACATGCAGTTCTTCTTAAATGGTATTCTCTGGCAGTGATCTTACTTTACCATATGTTTGCTTTTGAATTAACGGAGCACATTTATTCCGTGTCAGCATCTCTCTGTCTCTCGTTCAGTTCTCGCCTCTTCTTCATATGCCGGCCCCTCCCTAATTCTCTATCTTTTCATCCTAATGTTTTCACAACTCTTCCTCTCCTCTTTTCACCTTCTCAGTCGCCCTTCTCTTCTCCTTCATGTTTTCCCTCCATCGCTCTCCCGTCTCCTCCTCTCTTTGCTTTTTCCCCCCTGCTTCCTTGTTCGCTGCCTCCCTCCCTTTCACGCTCCCTCCCCTCATCTCTCTCTGCATTGCAGTATCTCTGTCAGCCATCGGCAGAATAGGCAGTCTGGTGTGTGCCTGTGTGTGTGTGTGTGTGTGTGTGTGTGTGTGTGCGTGTGTGTGTGTGCTTGTGTGTGTGCCTGTGTGTGTGTGTGTGCTTGTGTGTGTGTGTGTGTGCCTGTGTGTGTGTGTGTGTGTGGTGTGTGTGTGTGTGTGTGTGTGTGTGTGTGTGTGTGTGTGTGTGTGTGCTTGTGTGTGTGTGTGTGTGTGTGTGTGTGTGTGTGTGTGTGTGTGTGTGTGTGTGTGTGTGTGTGTGTGTGTGTGTGTGTGTGTGTGTGGCACTGCAGTCCCTCCTAAGCAGCTGGACAGGAACTGAGATGGATAGCGTTCGTTCAGCCCATATTTCCCCTACTCACTCTTTCAATCTTCATCTCATTGTCCCTTTGTGAATGTTCTCTTTTTTATCTTCTCTTTTTCTACTCTCATGCCAAACGCTCCTTTCTCCCCTTTCTACTCTTAAATTAAGCCATTTCTTCTCATTACATCCTTTGATCAATTTTCTCTGTTATCTTCTCTTCCAAACTGCTCGTCTTCACAGTTATTATTTCCCTTAGTTTGCTAACAATCTTGTTAATGTGTTATATAAACACATCTTTGTATAATTACTTAATTGGAATCTGGTGCACTTGTACTTAAAATCACGTCGTTCTATTTCCATTGTGTAAGCACATTTATATATTTGGATGCAACTATTAAATGACATATTTATATTAAAATAAGATAAATCTTTATTTACCCCTTAGATAAATCCAGGTGTTAAGACGGCGCCGGAATAGGATGGAAACCAAGGAAAGAAAAGGTAAGAAAATACGAAATGTCAGTATTGAAATCAGAGGGTAATAAGATTAAAAAAACAAATTAAGAATCTAGGTTACAGTAAAAAAGAAAAAAAAAACACAATAGTACCTGTACATATAATACAGATGTGAATTATTATGAATATTATAACAATACATGATATACATTTGATTCATTAATTCATTGATAAACCTCAGTAGTCAACAAGATAGCTTACTTTTTGAATTGCTCTTCTAGGCATACAGGCATTTTAAGTAGATAGATAAAAGTGTAAATGATCTTTTTTTGGGTTGTTTCATCATCATTGCTGTTGCTGCCATGACACCTCCATTTCCCTGTGAGGATTACTAACTGCTTATCTCATACATGCACTGTACATGTCAGATGATCACCATTTCCAGACCCTATCCGCCATAACCAGCACAGAGAACAAGCCCCCCCGCAGTGCTGATGAGTGAGAATATGCAGCCTTCCTGTTAGCGGGCACACACTGCACTGCCTCGCCTCCTTGTGAGTGCTGACTCTTCAGAGCGCTCTCTTCCTCCTCATCTCTATGGCCGGGTCCAGTCAGCCTTCCCCTGCAGCGATGAACCCTCACAAAGTTTATTCTGCCATGCTGGCTGTAGTGCCTCGGGACTCTGCGCACATAGCGCCTTGTTGTGAAAGCCAACGTCTTTTTTCAATTGTTTTCAATGAGGATATGCCTTCTCCAGAAAAAGTGCTGCATCCAGGTTTTTTTTTTAACACTTGGCTTTTTTTGTGCAGCCGCTCCGAGCACTCCAAGATTAATATTTTTCAACTTTTCAGAAAAATAGCAAATAACGTCACTATATAAATTGGAGAAGAAGCTTGTATTTGCCATTTCTTTTAGATGGAAACTATGATAACAAAGATCAATCATACACATTGTTGATGGCAATAAACATCCATTTGGTTATCATTGGGAGAAAACAATGTCAAACAATTATAAAGAAGCAGAAATAGATAATAAAAGGCGAGGGTGCAAACCCAGTCAGAAAGCACATTTTCAAAAGTGCTTGGAGCTTCTTCTTTTTTTATTAAACACTGGGAGGAGGCCCTGCCTGCGCCTTCCTGCCAGAACATGTTCTATGTGGGCCTAAGAGCAGCTAATTTCCCCCGATCATACCCTCCAGACGTCTCCTTTGTTATAAAGAATCCAAAGCCCTCAGTGCTTTAGATCTTCAGACTAACAGCGTAATACTTGAACCGTCTATAGCTGTGAACGCTGCATAACGTTTTCATTAGTCGAACCACGTACAGCAATAAGATAGTTGGCAAAGTTGTGAGCGGAAGAGATGAACTCAGGGGACTGACAGCCTCTGCATGTCTATGATGAGTGATTATCCAGTCAAGGATGATTTTTAATCAAGATCATTTTCTTGCCTTCAATGATGTTGCAGTAATGATCAGCTCTCTCAGACAGGTGGCATGCTGCAGGCAGAACAGTGTTTCAGATGCTCATCAATAATAAACTCACTAACAGTCTCTTTGCATCAGAGAGCGCTAACAGGTGTGCTGGAATTAAACAAAGGTCTCTGATACAGTGGTATAATGTCTTCTGTGGATCTGTCTAAATTCCTAACGATGCAATTGTGATTTTTTTCTTGCAGGATAAAACAATGTAATTGGTTGCATTATGGGAAATGTAGTGCTTTGATCTTGACCCTTCCTTGATACATATGGTGATAATATAAGCCTCTGCTGCTTATGACTTTGATTAATTTGTTTTGAGCAATATGTTTCGTAAATTAATGGAACTTTGCTCCTTTACCTGGATATTACTTAAATAAGATATTTTTCAAACTCACAACAAAAAGGCAAGCTATGTTGCAATAAAAGGCACCAAATATCCAGAAAACCTGTAATATGTGATGTGTTTTGGTTATATAACCCTAACCCCTAACCCTTTCTTAAATGTCACTTTTTATTTCCCGATTATGCTTTTTTTGGTGTCCCCTCCTGTAGTGTGTTCTATAGGTTTTTGTGAATTTAAATGGTCTGCAAAGACTACAATCCCTGTGTTCCCTCCAGAGGAAGTTTCTCTCCAAAACACTCCCCCCCCCCCCCTAGGCTAAGGGACGGGACATCTCTAAGCAGTTAACCAATCACAACAGAGCCGGCCAGCTAACCAATCAGAGCAGACTGGGCTCTGGTTTCAGACAGAGGGTGAAAAGAGGTGCTGCAGCACAGGCAGTATGAGACAAATAAAGAGCTTTTTGAACAATAAAGCATTTAAACATATCACAGTAGAGACACTTAATACTAATATGAACCTGAAAATGAGCATGATACTGTATGTCCTCTTTAACACAGAAGTTAATTTAAAAAAGACAACTTACACTTAAATAGCTGACACTTCGATCTTTGGCTTGAGCATTTGTTCTTATGTATTTGTTCAGTATCCATATAATGTTTCTTAATTTTCAGTACTGTTAATGTAAGGGTGAAGTTAGGCAATTAAACACTGTTAATGCTATTGTGGTTTGTGAAAAAAACCTAGAGTACACGACTATCCACAATGACCAGCCTTCACCCTCCGCTATGATCACTACAGAAGTTTCCACATTATTAGACAACTGTTAATTAGTTTTTGCCTGTTAATATCAATGTAAAGCTCCAAGCGTAGTCACTTGGCTTAATTTCCTCGAGTCATTGCGTTGCTAAATAATCCGTAGACAGACAAGAGGACAATTTCTGCCATCTGTTTTCCTGCTCCATCTATTCAGCATTTTAACTAATTTTATGTCCCATTATGCGCTCATTATTTTCAAATCCTGCTGCTTTTTGGCTCACCAGCTCATACATGCAGGTGCAAACCCAAACTATCAGAAATTCAACTTGAATAAACATAGCTAATGATTGAGTATTATTATTGTTCATTTCTATTATTTCCCTCTATACACTCCTACTCATATGCACACTGTTGGTTTTTTAATGACCAGTTAGATGGCATAGCTAAACCCTCACACTCACTGAGACATTAATGATAATGACGCATAGGCCTGATGTGTGTGTGGGTCAGATACAGGACACGGTGTGGAAATGGGTTTTGCCTTTTGGTTTTAAAAATAGAAACTCCTCTGCTCCTAATACCTTAAACATGGCAAGGCAGACTGTTTCCACAAAATGGAATGACCTACCACCTGCTCACATTGTCAGAAATGACAGCGACAGTTAAGAGCCTGGCCTCGACGGATCTGAGTGTAAAGTTGAAGTAAATTGGTCGGGTAATAGAGTGCAAGGCCATGTAATGACTTGCTGTACAGATTTTAAGATGTGCAGTTAAGCTCACAGCCCACAGTGAAGTAAGGCTCACTCCCCCTCTGCACCAGCTCCTGCATGAATATTCCTGACAGGTTAGCACATTTCTGAGGTTGGTTTGATGCAGAACAAATGAAAGTAAATGGCACTTTATTAAACCAGCATTAAAATAAAGCAGAGTACAGAAAGTAGGTACCTTGATTTTTAATCCTTAGTACAACAATGTTGGATAATACAACAAATAACAGTTCTGAGTGGTAAATAGGTACAGTATGTTAGGGCTGGCTCTGGCTCTATCAAGCGGCTATCTCTCTCTTCATCTGTATGGACTTACTTTATGTCCCATACATGCATGTTACTAACTTGACATCCGGGGCATCATCCTTGGAGGTTTTGTGTCCCTCACCTTGCAGGTTCCTGTATTAAAGATCGCTTCTGGATAGTGTTACATTTCGTTGACTAAAACAATGACGAAATATGTTCGTCAACGACCTTTTTTTCCATGACGAAAACGAGACGATGACGAGACGGCACCGACGGCAGTAAACAATAACTGCAACAAAATCATCATGCAATGTCGTTGACGAAAAGTGACGAGACGAAAATGTAGTTTACTAAATAAAAACTATGCCAAAATCTCTCTTTACTTTCGTTGACGAAAAATGAGGAGACAAAATATTATCAAAGATAACGTTACATCTCTGATCCATTTCCGGTGCTGCGGCAGGGCAGCAGCTGTGTGTCTGTGCTGCGCGTGGCGGTACATTTGAATTACACCGGGGCCCTTTTAGGCCGCAAGGTGAACCTCGAAAAGTCCTTTAGAAAAGAAATCCCGCTCCACAGAAGTGAAACTACACAATCTTTAGTTCATAAAAAAGAACGATTCATGCTTATCCACCAAAAAAAATGTCGTCGCTAAAATTCCGGCCAATTCTTCTAGGCACGTAATTATTGGCTGAACTAGTCCCTTCGAAGCGTAATAATATCTTGGTCCAAAGTCGTGCCACGGTTCATCACGTGATCGTGCTACACCAATTGGGTAGCTGCATATTGTCAACAGAAGTGAAAGATGGCGGCCGCCATGGTTTCATCGAGTAGCGGAGACGAGGAAAACGCACCAGAAAGTCTCAAAAAGTCAAAATTGTCAACACACAAACATTGTTACATGCATATTACGTCTGTGAAGCACGAAAAGGTTGATTGTTTTACCAATACAAGATGGAATACGTACAGGACAAGCTTACAACGGTCGCTCGGCTTGAAGGGAGACTCTCGGAACGTGGTGGCTGAAAACCACAAGCACTGTCTTGATTTCGAGTTCGAAGATATTCCTGAGGACGCTGGCTTCCACCACACATGCTACATAAGGTTTACCGACACAAAGGCCATGACGAAGGTGGAAAGACGGCTCGCACGTGAGGGAGATCAAGACGTTAGGGAGGACCTTGAGGTCGAGCCCATCCCATCGACGTCTCGCAGCACGTACCGAAGCCAAACAGAGAAGCTACGATCAAGGTCAGGCCTGCCAATCGCAGGCTCTGGCCCCGTCCTTCCTGCCCTGTGCATTATATGCAAGATGAAGGAGAAAATGATCATCAAAGCAGGCAAGCGACAAAGGGATCAACTGTGTAAGGCTGAAACATTAAAAGCAGGTAAGCAAACCCCCTCCCCCACCCACACACCACACACACACTACACACACACCACACACACACACACACACACACACACATTCTCTGTAGTTGAATAACTGAAAGGTACAATTATGTGTGAGAGATACGTCAACAAACTCATTGAGTTGTCCTTTTTTCCCGTTTAGGCAAATTGCAGAAAGCTGCTGAGAAGAAAGATGACCAAAGTGTTCTTTTACATATAAAAGACAAAGACTGTGTGGCTCTGGAGGTGCGGTACCACAAAAGCTGTTACAGTCAGTACACCATGTTTTTGCTGAGACCTGACAAACCAGAGACAGAACAGTAAGTTATTTCTCCTTGGATTGCTTTACCTATTTGCACTACCACCAGACTGAAGTCCAGGTGTGTGTCGGCGATGGCTATATATATATATACACATACACATACTTAACATTATAAGTAAACATCCAATTTCCTTCTGTTATATGTGCACACAATCACAACACTTATTCATTTATCCATTTATTTACTTCTCATTCATGTGTTGTAGGGATGAGGCAATGTTTGATGCCAGTTACAAGCTGTTCTGTGAGAGGATCATCCGCCAGAGGCTGCTTGTCAACAATGAGGTGCTTAGAATGGGCCAGCTGAGGCAGGCCTTCATTGACATGGTGAAAGCAAACGAAGGTGTTGATGCTTCAAACTAAAGTCTTATTATTTATCATGTGCAAGGCCAGCTTTAAACAAAATGTGTATGACAGGCCTGTTTGGAGAAACCCCCATGATGTGTAGTGTGTAGTGTTGTTTGTGATGATGTGGGCCTTTATTTGGCTTCTTTGGTGTTAAATGTGCTGTATGGCAGATAGGTTCTAGTCTGTAATGTCTTGTATCACCTCCACCACTCTGCTTTTGATGGTACTCCTGTGACTCGTAATTGTCACTGTTTTGTTGTGTTACAGACAGGATCTGTTGAAGAAGAGGCTGGCTCAAGATTTCCCTCAGCTAGCGTTTCACATGCCCACCAAGCGCAACGTCTGCGAACTGGTTTTTGCTGAGACTCTGTCAAAGGATGCACTCGTGGACATGCTACCAGATCCATCCGGTACGGAAACAACACAGTCCAGTGAATTGAGCCAGACAGACAGCGACAATGAAACAGGGAGAACAAAGTGCCAAACAACACATGAGGACACAAGGACACTGTATACAGCAGCGTTGTTTTTGAAAAGACTGCTTAGTGACACTCCTGGCATGTCATGCCCATGGCCTCCCACTTCTGAAAATGTAAATGTCACTGAATCTCAAACTGTTGTCCCCATTGGACTATACAATCTGCTCAGCTGGATTATAGGTTCCACTGAGGAGCCAACACTGGATCATTATGTCAACATTGATGATGACGTACATTTGAAAGTGTTGTCTGCAAGATATCCTCATTGAATCTGAAGTTGTTGCCCCAGGATCCATCAATGGGGTACTCAATGGCCATCACTACAATCGCAGCATGAGGGCTCATAAACTTCTATATGAGAGTCTGCAGCGCATCCGGTTTATCACCTTCATGGACTCCTTGCCACCCCAAGAGAGAGCTGCGTGCATGGATGTCATCACTGAGATGGAATGTGCCTTTCCAGACAGATTGATGGATGTTTTGAGTGCAGATCAGAGGTTTGATAATATGTGCTCGAAATATGCAGACTTTGTGCAGAGGAGGAGTACAGAGAATGCAACATTTGCTTTCTGGAGCTCATACATTGACATGATGCAGCTACTCCTCCTGTTTGTGAGAGCAACGCGAGAATCAAACTGGCAGCTTCACCTGTCAACCGTCCGGTTAATGATGCCATGGTTTTTTGCCTACGATAGAGTAAATTATGCTCGATATTTACCTGCATACTGGCTGGAAATGATGAATCTGCCTGTCACACATCCCTCTTACCACAGTGACATGAATGTGAAAGGCCAGTGGACTGTCCAGCGACAAAGTGTTCATGGATTTGCCTCCATTGCTTGCGACCAGGCTATTGAGCAAACGCTTAACAGAGATGCCAAGACCAAAGGTGGCTGGACAGGGATCACACAAAATCGGTCTGCAGTGTATCGCTGGATACTGTCACAGCATGAAAGAGCCGCGATAGCAAGACAGTGTGAATCAATG